AGTTAAATTATATATTTATATATTATAAATTATATATTTCTTCTAATTTATTTAGTATTTCATATGTTTTTCTTAAATGTAATTTTCATACTGTATTTTATCTATCTTGCAAGACCAAAAATGTGTACTTTTCATTACAGTAACATAAATCCATCCGTCTCAAATGCCAAAAGTTTCTGCATTCCATCTCACCTCAAAATAACCCTTGTTGATAAATTTGTTTTGATGGCTGTTTTATCCAAAAGGTCAATTAAGGGAGGGATCCTCTAATTATTTTGGAGTAATTAGGCGCCAGACCACATACAGAGTGTTAATTTTACATCAGTGAGTTATGAGCTTCATAAAGATTCAAATTTAAAACAGGGTGACCTGTGCTACAGAGATTCACGGTATTAATCTCCAAACACGTTTGCATCTCTTGATCTCTGTCAGCAATTCCTTTCATTTTCAAATTAGAAAACATTTATTAAGTTTAACTTTTATGCATTTATTTATTATTTTTTCTACTTTGGCAAATTGCTGCCCTGCTGAACTGTTCATGATTGCCTTTTTGTTTGATCCTCTGATTTTAGTGTCATCTAGCACAGTGGTTCTCAACTATGTTTTACAGTAAACATTGAGCGCAAGCCATACAAAAGTGAGCTAAAATGTGTGTAATAAAGTATAAAAGTAATTTATTAATATAACTATCCGTTGCTGAATTGCTAATACTTGTAAAAGCATTTTGTTGTCAGCACAAATCACAAGTTTTACAAGTGAAACTGTAGTTTTGTTCATGATTTTGGAATTAGCATCTGCTAATCGGACTAGCATCTAGATGAATTTGCGCCCAAATACGACAAAGTTAGATTGAATGCACAATTTTTGACATCCACAACAAAATATATAAGTTTTTGTCATTTTTAAAAGCTGATAACCCTATATTTTTGTTATTCTTACTGTGTTGTTCTGCTGTTAGTTGTGCTTTATTTAGCAGTTAGCATCATGTAACATTTAAATTTCTGCTTCCTGGATCAAAACGGTCTAGTTGAGAACCACCGATCATCAATTATAAGATATTTTGAGAAAAATTGAGCTTATGAAAGAGATAGCACCTTGTTTACTTTGATTTTGCCTCAGCCGTCTACATTTAAATTGACTTTAGCATTTCCCGCCATTTTAGGCTAAATTATATTCAGTCAGATGTGGAATATTCCTATGTCTGTCAGATTTTTGAATATAAACGTTGCCTGATGCTTGATAAATGTTGTATATGAAAACAAAATGACAGCTAACGTTAGCGTTTGTCAAATTGCTAAGGGTAAACAATGCTATACTAGCATTAGCTTGTGTTCTTCAGGTGTACACTCATAAACAAGATCATTATGTGTTTAACGTGAAAATGTTTGCTAAACAAACATTCTCTTCAGTTTTTCAAGTAGGAAATCAGAAATTTAGACTTTGCAAACCCTTGTATTGCTTATAACTTCTCAATGGTACAGTAAAGTACAGTATACTATCTTTTAACCGTAGCATTAACATGGCTGTTTGTTCTCTAAGGAACATTTCACTGCTTCATACCCGGACAGCACTTAGTCGGACTGTAGCAGTCGGTGTGTTAGCCTGTTAGGGCATTAGCACGGCAATAAGTGGCTGCTGCTGTCAGCAAGAAGTCCCAGCGATCCAAAAGCTGCCAAAGATCACAGCTAGGAGTCACACGCCGGCGCTAGCGGCTGACACTGCAAGGTGCCGTCACATGCCAAGCTAGCACACTCATCTCAAACACAAGGACATGCTTCGTCCTTCGACTGACTAGTGTTTTTCTGCCGCATTAAAAGAAAAAGGGCTGATGCTATTAGGCTATAGCCTTTTTGATTATAATTGCAGATGAATACATTTTTAATGAGGCTATTAGCATAGTGTAGCAAAGCATCAATGGTTCACGTTTTGTTTAAAGAAGACTTATATGTAGACTTGTAACATTTTTATGTGCCATTCAAAGAAAACATTTACAGTACGTCTGAAATGTAAGAAATTTGAAGAAGGAATGGCTTAGAAAAGTGAGAAAAGAATTAGCATGATTTGTTAGATGCCACTACATTTGATATTACCTATTATGTAATAAAATTTTTAGACATTTTTAAGGGTGACATAATTGCTTAAGTACTATGCAACTGATTGTATGCGTATGCAAATTTAGCCAACCATACAAAAAGTTTCTGACATATATAATAAGTAGGGCTATCATTTTATCATGGTAATGTAATGTAATGTAATATAATGGAAAAAAAAAAAAATTAATAATGCAAAATTAAATAAATAAAATATAAAAACGAAACTGACCATAAACTTATGAAAAGTGCTGTTAAAAATGTTGTGCAAATAAATAAATAATATAATAGATTTATTTATATAAGTGGGGCTGTTAGATTAACATGTCCATTTAATAAAATGCACAACAAATCGCAACTGATCATATACTTACAAAAAGTCCAATTTTTGTCATATATAATGGTACATTTAAGAAAAATATAAAATATTAAATAAATGTAAGAAATATAAAAATATAATTTAAATGATTAATTTATTTTTAATATATAATAATATTTGCAGCCCTAATTAATATATATATATATATATACACACACACATATATAACTTAAATAAGTAATAAAAATAATAATAATAAACAATTTATGAAAAACGCTTTTGATACTTTTGGTCATATTCATACTTAAGTTTTAGTTTCTTCTGTTTTTTCAAATGCATATTTGTGAAATTTTAATGTGACTTTCAAAGAAATAATGCATGTCTGAAATATGCCAAATTTGAAGAACTAATGGCTCAGAAAATGTATACTAATTCTAAGAAAAGTGCTTGCGTGAGTTAAGTTTGATGTTTTTAAGGATAACTCAAGTTTTTTTTAGGACCAGAGTTTTATGGTAAAAATCATGTGATGTGACGGCTAACAGTCTGTTTGTGTTCCCCCAGCTTGATGTTCTGGACTAACTGGAACGAGCAGAAGCCAAGCATCATGAGGTCGACTTTAACCGGCCGGAATGTCCGCGTTATTGTTAGTGTGGATGTCATCACCCCTAATGGACTCACCATCGACCACAAAGCCGAAAAGCTGTATTTTTCCGATGGCAGTCTCGGCCACATCGAGAGGTGTGATTACGACGGCTCGCACAGATACGTGAGTATGGAGCCGCTTTGTGTGCGACTTTTAAAAAATGCATGGAAGTGCATTAGCCGAAGCGGAGGCTGTGCCTTAAGAGCACTGCAAACGTCTTTCAGCCTTTGTGAAGCTTTTCTGTTTTGCTGAGGTGAGACATTGAAGGAGGACATAGAGAAATTTCGATCCCATCCGCTGAATACAGTTCACTTGGGTTCAGTACATTGTCACTTAAAACTAAAAATTTGCTCTTGCCAGGAGGAGCAAATAAAAAGACCTAACGATGTTAAACAATAACTGAACATTTTTCTTATTGTTCTTAGTTCTAGGTAACAGTGTTTTTGAGTATTTCAGGTCATCTGTTCCCCTTCAGGATGCAGCAATGCCATGTTTCTGTAATGTATAGTGAGTAGGATCGTCGTTTTAACACATTCAATTAGTAAAAAGTGTTTTTTAGCAAAAACAGAATCAAACTAAATTCCTGTTTTTGTTATATATAGTAAGTAGGGCTGTCAGTTTAATATGTTCAATTAATAAAATTAATTATAAAAATAACATATAAAAAGTAACACAACCGATCATAAGTCACAGGTTTCTGTCATATATAATAAGTAGGGCTGTCAGTTTGACACACTAATTTAATAAAATGTATTATTAAATTTACTATTAATTTAATAAAATTGACTATAAAATAACAAAAATAAAAAGTAACGCAACTGATCATATACTTATGAAAAATCGTGTTTCTGTCATATAATAAGTAGGGTTGTCTGTTTAACATGTTAATTTAATAAAATTAATAATAAAAAATTAAAATGCAAAAAAATAAAAGTAAGTAGGGCTGTCAGTTTAATGTTAATAAAAAAAATCAATTATGAAAATAAAGCACAAAAATGTAAAGCAACTGTGATCATCCATGTATGGTCATTCAAGTTTTTTTTCATATATAATAAGTATAGTTCTGTCAGTTGAACATGTTAATTTAATCAAATTAATTATAAAAATACAACCCAACTGATCAAATACTTATGAAAAATCCTGTTTCTGTCATATATAATAAGTACGGCTGTCAGTTTAACATTAGGGGGAGAAAAAAAGAAATTTCCGCTTTTTCATTTGCGATAAAAATTGACACAATTAATCATGGTCATATTTAAAATCCTGTTTCTGTCATGTGTACTTTTAAGTAGGGCTGTCAGTTTACCAGTTTAATTGAGTAAAACAAACATATTTACAACTCTGCTTAAGGAATTATTCCAACTATTTAAATTGATTGACAGACCTAAAAATAAGTTGTTAATAACTGCTAAAGTAAACCGATTTTAATGTTTGCTTTCATCAAGGCCCAGGAACTGCAGGTTAGAGGGTTTGACACAGTTTATCAGTTGACGACCGCCAACAATGCCGTGGTGTGCTAAATGGGTTCTAGCTGGCTAATGAAACGATCTGCTCGCTAGGCTATTAAAAAGTGAAAATTGGTCTGGGCGAACAAAAGGAAGATTTGTTTTCTTGCGTGTCAGACAGATAGCAAGGCTAGCGAGGCGGACCCTGTCAGAGTGCGCTGGAGGAGGAAGTGCCATCTAGGTTACTGCTGACAGATTCAATCTCCAGCCTTTTCAAACGTCCTCTAGAGGAAAACACACAGAGCCACACATTCAAACTCCCAGGAGTTCAGAATTAATAATGCAAATTAGATTAAACTTTCTTAATAACAACAAAACATCAAATATGACCCTATTTACTTTCATGAAGGTAAAGTGTGTGATTTCTAAACTACTTGAATCAACCAGTGGTAATATAGTGGTTGGAAATCGATTAATTCTATTCAGATTTTTTAAAACAATTTTTAAATGTGTTACTGTGTAATTTAATAATTTCTTTAAAGAAAGTATTTGATATGTTGTATAAATTTAGTTATTACTTTCACACGAGGCTTTTGTGAAAAGTGTTTCCATCAATTCAGATTTGCACCCTTATATAATGCATTGCATAATTTATCATTTTCTTCAAAGGTATTGAATTGTATAGAATTCAATACCTGAATTGTATAGGTATTGTATAGAAATGTTACAGTGTTACAACAATGTTATAACTTTCAAATGAGGCTTTTCTCTTTGTAGCTGTCAGTGAGAGTTGTTTACCTCAAATTTGCAGTTTTCAGTTTTTAATCATGTTACCGCGTAATTTAATGTTTTCTTTAAATAAAGTAGCGAACGCTGCACTGATGTTGGTACTTTCAAATGAGGCTCATTGATATGGAAGCCCGTTTCCGCCACTGGGGGAAAAAAAAAGTAATTGCTTTTTATCTCACAGACTTTTTTTCTTGCAATTGTGAGTTTACATCTGGTAATTCTAACTTTTTTTTTCTTTCTCAGTATTGTGTGAGATATAAACTCATAATTGCAGGTTATAAAGTCAGAGTTGCATGATATAAACTCATAATTCTAATAAATAAAGTCACAATTATGAGAAATAGTCAGTTTTTCCCCCTCATAATTACGAGTTTATATCTCACAATTTTGACACTGTGATGGGTGTCTGAGGCTGGAATCGAACTCGGGTCTTCTAGTCAACTGAACTGCCTCTTTTACCACTGCGCTATGGTGGATGACAAATAACAGATGGACCCAAGGGCAGAAGAATAACATGCAGGCTTAGATGACTGAACAAAAAGTGCTTTACTGAGGAGTCCAAGTTCAAAAGTACAACAAAAAGGAAGCCGTGCTTCCACAGAAAAAATACAAGAAATAAAAGATGAGCAAAAGGCAAATCCAAAAACACAACAGACTTAGCTTTCTTGGTGAGGATAACACCTGCATAGTAGGCTCAAGACTGAACACAACTGAAAGAAAGAGGCATGCTTAAATAGGCAAACACAAATTAGGTAATGACCCACAGGTGGGAGGAATCAAGTCCTAATGAGTAGTAATACAATTAATTCTACAGAAGCTAGGGCCACCTAGTGGCTGGGAGAGTCATTACACGGCATAAGTGTCAGTGCCAGCTAATGGTTGGGGGAGTCATTACAAGCTGGAGCCTTACAGGAGCCCCTCCTCCAGGAACGGCTCCTGACGTTCCCCTAGCTGTGTTGTTGTCCACGGCGGTGGAACTCCCTGATGAGATCTGGGTCTAGAATATCTCGAGCTGGCACCCAAGACCGCTCCTCTGGGCCATAACCCTCCCAATCCACAAGATACTGGGTTCTCCCACGGACCTGGCGAGAGTCCAGTAGTCGGCGCACGGTGTAGCTTTTAAAGTTGTCCAAATGAAGTTCCTAGCAATGCATATTACTAATCAAAAATTAAGTTTTTATATATTTACAGTAGGAAATTTACAAAATATCTTCATGGAACATAATCTTTACTTAATATCCTAATGAATTTTTGCATAAAAGAAAAATCCATAATTTTGACCCATACAATGTATTTTTGGCTATTGCTACAAATATAGACCCTTTTTCTGTTAGTAAACATTGTGGCGTTTTTTTTTTCTGTGGGTGGAGCTTAGGTGGAGGCAGAAAGATTCCCCTGACCGCTTCACTAACGCTAGATATGAAGTTTGTTAGCTTGTTTTTTTAACAATGACTGGAGAAAATCCGATTTTACATGCATATTGTAAGGACACTCACTGTCCGGGACCGCGATTGTTATTTGAAAAGGTTAACTTTAACGGACGAAACCAGATCGGCCGACCTGTACACGCTCACTCAAAGCTTGGACGATCTGACAGGATTCCCTCTGGTTGAGTGACTCACATCTAACGTGTATAGTAAAGACAAACTCACCGTGTCTATCTAGTCATGATGAAGATGTATATACATTTCAATTTCAGCAGGCAACTATTTTTACAGCTACATTATTATTCCAGCCACAATTAATCACGACAATGTATATACAATTACAAATGATTATATATAAATTGTCAATTAGTTGTTTTACACACATGCACACAGACATTATTTCATACACGACATAATCGTGAGATGCATAAGAAATCTTTAGAAGCATCCATAACAACAAAAGACAATACTTTATTGAACCTTTTATGATAAGAAGTGTGCGCTGCAAACGCAAGCATTTTTGACGATCGTTTCTGTCCAGTCCGCTTGTTTTATCGCGTTTTAACCACAGCAGTCTTCGTTTTTTTTTTTGTCTGACAGTGGCATCTTTTTTTGCATCGATTCAGATTTTTAGTTTTCAAATTTATAGTATGTACTACGTAATTTGCCAATTCCTAAAAGTAGTAAATGCAATGTAGAAACATTACGATGCATCTTTTCTCTTTGCAATTGGCTGAGAAGCATTTGCTTAATTTTAGATTTGTAGTTTTTAGTTTTTTAAAAATGATACTCATGAATTTTAATCATTAATTTAACAATTTCTTTAAGAACGTAGTGAATGAATTGTAGACACTTTACACTAATGTTTGCGCATTCAAATGAGGCTTTTCTGTTTACAGCTGGCTTTCAACTCAGTAGTTTTCAGTTTTTAATAATTTTACAACAATTTCTTTAGCAGAGAATGGCCAATAAAAATTTCACAATGTCGCAATTCTTTCCAGTGCTCATAAAAATCATCTCCAATCAGATCTGACCACTTTATGAGCACATTGTTCTGTAAGTAAAAAGGGGTGGAGCTTATCAAGGGGTCAGTATAGCTTTAAATAAAATAGAACCTGTTTTAGTTAAGGTTATGTTTGAGTAACCCTCCGTGGCATTATTGGAGAGCAAAGTCTGAGATAATCCCTGCTTAGAAGCTACTTGAAACGTAAGCCTGCGCTCGGAGCGGGAATGTCATGTTCTTGTCCACTGATTTGTAATTCAATGCTAAAACATGTCGATCTTAAGAGAGCATGAAGAGGTTTTCACCTGTCGAGACGACAGCTCTGATATCAGAACGTCATGCAGATGTGTCTGCCACATCTTTCATCCTGATCCCCCACACACGTGCAGGCGGCGATGAAACACTTGGGAATAAAGACATCTCGACCGCACGAGGGTGAGAACACGTGTTTGACATGTTGTCATCGCGGATTAAAGCGCGAGCCTCGCTCTCCACGCGCCCATCAAGCCGCCTATTATTACAAAGACTCTGGCATTCAAATGGACGGCCCTTCAGAGACATCTGTGTCTGCGTGTGTTACTGAAGAGCAGTTAATGCTGCGTGTGGCTCACAAAAGCCAAGCAAAAAACATGAAAAGCTCTTAAATCTGGGGAAAAAAATGTGTGCAGCCTCTCTTTTAACCCATCAAGGGTTACATGCAGTTATCATAGAAACTGTGATGAAGAATTTGTAGTGGCTTGATTTGTGGACATTATATTACATAGTAACCTAACATAAATATTGGTCTCTCTATTTATTTGGATTTGTTTATTTATTTCTCCTTCCTGTTTCTTGTTGCTTTGCTATATTATGCCAAGATATTTTTTTGTGGCTTGAAGTTTTTTGTTGTTGTTGTTGTTTTTATGTATTTATTTTATCTTTATAATTTGTATCCATCCATCTATCTATCTATCTATCTATCTTTTTTTTTGTACAACAAAAATATAATGGTGTACCCTTAAAAAAATCGAATTGACTTTTTAAATGTTTTGACGGTTTTTTCTCTCTCTGAATTTTTCTCTCTGAAAAACGAAACGAAACAAAACAGTGTCAACTTTGACCAAATTGGAAGTGCCTTGATTTTTATTTAGTTTTATGTATTTACTGCTGTTTGTTCTCAATATTTCTGCAAATAAATTTGAGAAATCACATTTTTTTTTTGCCCTTTTTTTTTTTTTTTTTTTACACACAGGAGAAAATCTCACTAAATCTCATTGACTTTTCTAAATTGCTTTGACATTAATTAATTTGTTTTATTTACTGCTTTGCTTTTTCTCAGTATTTTTAGTTTTTCATATAAATCTGGGAATTCAGAAGTGTTTTTCTTTTTCTTTTTCTTTTTTCACGCACAGCAGAAAAATAAGTAAATGATAGACTCACTGAATTATTTAATTTTTTTTAACCTTGCATTCAGGGCTTATGTACCATATGGAGTTGTGGAGAAAAAACATAAATAAATAAACTTATGATGATACAGTTTCCACTGAGTAAATCATGACAGCTTGTTTTTGATAAGGATCAAATGACTAACTGTTTTATTTTACTCACCAACGTCTAATTTTAAATGTATTTGTTGAGTGTAGATTTTGAACCCCGGTTCGTTCTCATCTCTACCATCTCAGTGTTTCTGAGTGACTGGACTTAATTCATTTCCTTCAGGCACGTGAAGAACAGCCCCTCTCTCACAGCTTACCTTCCTCCCTGAGGCTATGCGTGATGTACTGTATCTCTGTGTCTGTTACGACAGCGATTCCATTTACACTCTCTGTAGATCTGGGTTAATCATTTATAATGTGGGGGATAATGGAGGAGGACTGTCCTTCGGGTGTCACAGTGCTTTCCCTCCGGCTCTGGACGGGCCCGTGTGTCTGTGTGAATTATACAGACACTCTGTGTGCTTTATTTTGGTCTGTGCACCTTTGTGCTGAATGTAAACTGCCTGATGGAACTGTTCTGTACAGCAGTAGAGATGCTTTCATTTATTTATTATCAATGCTTCAAAGTTATTGAATGATTTTTACAAGATAACTGTAATATTTATGAATAGTATCTATCTGTCTGTCTGTCTGTCTGTCTGTCTGTCTGTCTGTCTGTCTGTCTGTCTGTCTGTCTGTCCGTCCGTCCGTCCATTGTTCTATCTTTCTATCTGTCTGTTCTGTCCATTCGTCCATTCATCCATTGTTCTACAGTATCTATTGTTTTACCAGTCTGTCTGTCTGTCTCTCCATCCATCCATCATTCTATCTGTCATCCTACCTGTCTGTCTATCTCTCTTTCTATCGATCATCCATCCATCCCTCCATCCATCCACCATTCTATCTATTGTTCTACCTGTCTGTCTGTCCGTCCATCCATCCATCCATCCATCCATCCATCCATTATTTTATTTACCATTTTACCCATCCATCCATCGTTCTATCATTCTACCCATCTGTCTGTCCATCCATCCATCATTCTATCTGTTGTTCTACCTGTCTGTCTGTCTGTTCGTCCATCCATCCATTCATCCATCCATCATTTTATTTACCATTTTAACTGTCCATCCATTCATCCATCCATCGTTCTGTCTATCATTCTACCCGTCTGTCTGTCCATCCATCCATTCATCCATCCATCATTTTATTTACCATTTTACCTGTCCATCCATCCATCCATCGTTCTGTCTATCATTCTACCCGTCTGTCTGTCCATCCATCCATTCATCCATCCATCATTTATTTATGATGGACCATTTTACCTGTCCATCCATCCATCCATCGTTCTGTCTATCATTCTACCCGTCTGTCTGTCCATCCATCCATTCATCCATCCATCATTTATTTATGATGGACCATTTTACCTGTCCATCCATCCATCCATCGTTCTGTCTATCATTCTTACCCGTCTGTCTGTCCATCCATCCATTCATCCATCCATCCATCATTTTATTTACCATTTTACCTGTCCATCCATCCATCCATCCATCCATCGTTCTGTCTATCATTCTACCCGTCTGCCTGTCTGTCTGTCCATCCATCCATTCATCCATCCAACATTCTATTGTTCTATTGTTCTCATTCTATCATTCTATCTGTTGCTCTGTCTTTTTGTCCATCCATCCAACGTTGTATCTGTTGTTTTACTTGTCTGTCTGTCTGTCTTTCCATCCATTGTTCTGTCTATTGTTGTACCTGTCTGTCTGTCCATCCATCTACCAGTCGTTCCATCATTTTAACTGTTTTTTTTTTTTTTTGCTATCTGTCTGGCATTTAAGCACAAGTTCAAAAAGTTCACAACGTTTTTAAGGTCATGAGAAACATAAATTCACCAAAAGTTTTTGACTGCTAGTCTATAACCTGAAATATGTAATAGTGCTCTTGTAAAAAACTGTTTTTTTATTTTTTATTACCAGGATATTTCCCTCACCTAAATTCTTCTTCTTAAATTTGTAGGTCATTGTGAAATCAGGACCCGGAACGTTCTTTGGCTTGGCAATTTACAGAGACTTCATCTTCTGGTCCGACTGGACGCGGCGGGCCGTGATCCGCTCTGATAAGTTCACCGGAGCCAATACGAAAGTCCTCCGTGCAGACATCCCTCATCAACCGATGGGAATCATCGCTGTTTCCAACGACACCAACAGCTGTACGTGATTAATTTCCTTTGTTCCATCACATGATGCAACTGTTTTAACATGTATCAAACGTTTTTAGTTGATTTTGAAGTGTTGTGTCAACAAACCTTTATAGTATATTTCTAAAACCCTTGAATCAAAGAGAGTTTTAAAACGAGCAGATAAACACGTTTCTTGGTTGATGTAGCAGATGTCTTGCCATCTTGTTTGTATTAGTCACACAAAGCTTGTTTGTATTATTCACACAAGGTGTCTGAGATGCTTACTCTGTGATGACAGCAAACACAAAGCAAAGTCACTGATGTTAGATGCGTCAGAAGTCTGGGGGCTTTTTTGATGGGTGCGCGGGAAGCTGGAACAAAATCTACACATTCTGACATGAGGGTCAGATAAGCAGCACATAGTCACAGTGTTCTTTGCTGACTCTACGTATTACAGGACAAGCTGGGTTTATGTCAGCATGGTGTGATAAATACAAAAACAAATCATACTAAGAGTGACTGTACATCATTAGAGTGGACTTATTCAGTAATTATAGGCTGATATATTTCCATAAGTGAAATAAATTCTGAGTCCAGAGTAAAGGACCTACTCTGAGTCAAATTTTTTTATTCAGATTTTATCTGTATATTCAGATCCTGAATCAGGATTGTGATTAGTGTTCAGATTATGACCTAGACTCATATACAGATTGTGATTCAGATTCCTATTGCTCTGAATTAGAATATTGTATATATTGTGTATCCATATTGTAATATAGATTATATTTGCTCTGAATATGTAGATTCCAATCTGTAATCTATATATTCTGTATGTAATCTATGTAATCTCTGTCAATCTATTCTAACCTGTAATCTATATTCAAAGTATATGATTTATACTATAAATACAAATTGTGATTCATATTAGAATTAAGATTCTTTGATCGCAACATGTAGATTCTAAATCATTTCAGTGATCTATATTCAAAACAGATTGTGATTCAGATTCCCTTTGATTTGAATCTAGATTTTGGATTCAGATTGTGCTCTGCATTGTACCCTAAATCCACATTCAGGATTCACATTATTATATATGATTTACATCCATATTATAATTTAGATTATTTTTGCTCTGAATATATAGATTGTAAATTAAGTTTGTGATCTATACTCAAAAAGTTTAATTTATGCTATAAATACAGATTGTGATTTCAGATTGCCTTTGATTTGAATCTAGATTTTGGATTCAGATTGTGATCTGTATTATACACACATACTGCAATCCAGATTCTGTTTGCTCTGAATATATAGATTCTAAATATAAATAGTGATCTAAATTTAAATTTATGATCTAGACTATTAATGCAGACTGTGATCCAGGTTCTTGTTCACTCTAAATTTAGATTCTTGATTCAGATTATGATCAATTATAATCATATATATATATATATATAATTATAATCAGAATGTAATTACAATTTGTGTATATATATATATATATATATATATATATATATATATAGTATATTTCACTCACTGAAATGCAAATCAATTTCTAACCTTTATATAATGTGTTTTTTCT